AGATGCAATAGTTTCATAACCGGCAGCAACTACTGCTTTCTTCTCTTTATCAGTATGCAATTCTAATAGTGGCATACTAGCAATCAACTCCTTAGAACCTTCACCATTAGGAACTCCAGAAACAACCTGCCCCGGTTTCAGCGACACAGTTGTAGGTAATAATGCACCAGTTCCTGTCCTTACTAGAAAGAGTTGTGACTGATCCATTATGGGATTGGCATCAGTTAAAGATACAAAAACATCAGGCCTAGCATTCATCACACTAATATCAGATGTCCACTCAAGTGCTTGAATACTCTCTGTTTTATCTGTGATTTTTACCTGATCTTCCATTTGCATTGACAATTGCTCTTTCACTTTTCTCGAAGGAATTCCATTTTCCTCCCGCTCAGGCAGATTTGAAGCAACCAACGATGACAAGCTGTGAGAAGCGGCTAGGGAAGACCCCTGCGAACTGGAAATATATGATAGCGTTGAACTCTGGGACAGATGAAACGATGTCAGCGATTGAGACGACATCCGAGAACTGGAAGCTTCTCCTCTCGATCGCGTCGGACATGGTCGTGAACTGCGGGCTGATGATGAAGTTCCCGATTGCGAATGGTGCGAAGAGCGATGCGAACTGTGCGAAGAGCGATGCGAAGCAGAGGAGGCATGCGATCCACTTCGCGAACGATCTGGAACTCTGTTCAGCATATCCGCGAAGCTGGCTTGCATAGCGGTCAACTTCGTCACCATATCTTCTTGTATCTCCCGCGTAAATCTTTCCATACTAGCTTGCATCTTCCTCATCTGTCGGTCTATATTATTAAAACTCTCTTCCATTTGTGGTGTCAAAATATCCTCCATGATTCAGATTCTCGGTCTCCAGGAAGTAATATGCTCTGATACCACTGATAGAATCCTCCAGAAATCACAGCAAAATCAAAGAGAAAGTAAGAAAATAGTATCAAGAACTCAAGAATCTTTATTATCGTGGAATCAATACGCTGGCCGAAGCCCCCAAAAGAGCCGAAGCCCCCTAAAAGAGAGAGAACTATCTCAATCTTCCCAGAATTAGACTAAACAATCAAAACAGCCTACCTGTCCTTCTCCCTCCTTATTCTATTTATACTACAATACTACACTCTTTGTTATTCTTTCTATTAATAGCCTAATGGGCCTTGTTCTTATCATTATTAGCCTAATGGGCCTATTCCTATCATCGCCATGTGTATACTCAGCGCCACAACCTATTTTATGGCGCAGAGGCCATTTCCGCGCCTCATGGCGCATGGCGCAAGCGCCATGGCGCATGGCGCGCCATTGACAAGCTTGATGGGAATATATTAGAACATTGTTCATTTAAGATTAGATGAAAATTAGGCAAGAGTTTATGAGTTATGTGACTTACAGAGGAAATGGCATTTAACCGGAACGAAATACATTGCTTGGTTCATATAGCGACCCACATAGTGCAAAAAAGATTATTTTCATTTAGTTTAAAGTTAGATTTTAAAGTAGGTTTGTTATTTGTCGTGGAACTGAAAAGGCCTGGCCTTAAATGGGGTGATAACAGTGTCTTGCAGGTTAAAGGCCCACTTGCTTCACTCCATTGCTTTAGCAATTTAGCATCGCCTAAGTGTATCCTTTTTTCTTTGACTAATTTGTGTACATCACATGAATGATTTGTTTAAATGTTTTCAACTGAATGTATATTTGACATCCAATGTGCAGTTCACTGCAAAGATCAATTTATCACGGGCATTATCTTTTACTGGTTCTAGATGGGCTGGCCTAGCTAGCCAATTCAGGTATCTTCAGTTAACTCCTTATGATCACTTTTATTTTCACAAAACAAATTTTCTGTCATCCACAATTTGTTTTCTTTTTTAATGCAGCTAAAACTCCGCTAGAAATGATAGTAGTGGTATTTACTCTGGAAATGTGGACTCAGATATTGAGCACAAGGTAAATTCTTTTTCCTTACATTATTTACTGCCCCTTGTAACATCTATTATCCGCACCCTAATATGATCAACTTGTGAAATGTTCTTAGGTAAACCCATCTGTGGTTGCATCTTACCGGAAAGAATTATTTGTTGGTTTGCCAACCAAGCATATTGAGTTTCACCGGGTAATGATAGTGATGTATTTGAGTGAAAAATAACATGACCTGGTCTCCTGATGACTCTTTGCTTCAGTTTCTCTTGATATGGAGAACTCATTCGGTATATAACATTTTTGCATAATAACATTTCAGGCTTTCTCCACAATTGCGGATAGACCTGCAAATGTACATGATGATGGGAAAAAGGTCCTTCGTCCATTATCACCTCACCTTGCTGTTTTTAAGCCTCGGACAAGTTCGACATCATCTATTCTACATAGAATATCTGGAGCTTACTTAGCTGCCGTCGTTTTCGGCTTTCATGTTATTTATCTGAAAGCAGGCTCAGTTTGCCTCAGCTACAACAATTTCTACCAATTATTGTTCATATTCATGTTTGAATTTCCTGATACAAATTTGAATTTGTTTTTCATATTCATGATTAGAATTACAAATTTAATTACACAATATATAAGCTAAGAGTGCACAACAAAGATCATCTTCTAATATACATTTACAAATAAGGTAAAGGATAAAACAATTGAAGTCCTTGCGATGCATAATTTCATATCCCAGTCTACTTGAAGAAAAGACCTACGAAAGAATGTCCGTAGAGCAATTTTTTTATGAACGGTAAAGCTAAATTAATTGTCAAAATTGTAATTTACAATATCACAAAGGAACGTACCCCCATTTCACAAGAGCATAACGAGCCAATGCTTCAAGCATTAGTATACTGCACTAAACTACAAACATAACAACCCCAAACAATTTGCCCAAATTATAAGTTGCCCAAAGGAACAAATAGCAACATCATACCATTTGCATTGTTGATCCACACAATCTGTCCAAAGCAACAACAACATTGACCATGCACTCCGCAACCTCTATCATCAAAGTACAAGGCAAATCGCTACTCAATGATATGCATACAAAACTCCCCAAGGCCGCACTAGATAACCAGAAAAACAACTAAATCGCCACCATAATATATCAATAAAATTGGTAAGATAATGTTTGAATAACACCTTGTCCACCAAGAGTTTAATCTGCACAACATGTAAACATATACTCATTCCTAGGCTTCCAAAACTTGTAAACAGTGCAGGAAACAGATAATCAAACGACCTTGTTCATTATCCTTGCATCTTCGTATTGTTTAAGGCAATTTTTATAACTGAGCGCGGTAGAAGTGTGCTTTTTATGTCTCAGCAAAAATGACCAAACTTCTGCTACACTTCATATGAACATTTAAAGAAAAAGATATATCACTAAATCCATCTATACTTTGCAAAAATAGCAACCCATGGTGTGTGCCTACACCCAGCCACATATCAAATTATTACGAACAAATATAATGGAATCATAAATAAAAATAAACAGTAAAAAGCAATAGCTGAAAAATAATAAACATGAAGCGACAAGATAACAACAAAAAGAAACAAGATACAACATAAAGCAACAATTAAAAAGCACAAAAAAGAAACAAAAGAAACAAAAAGAAACATAAGGAAACAAAAATAAGAACTCATGGATTGTGTTTGCAATAGTGGATAAAGGGATAAATTGGTAAAATGGAAGTAGGTACAGTCGCTTTTTCTAATATTTCATCATCATTTGGGTGGAAATATGTCCTCCATCCTCAACAGAGGTCACATACAACAACCCAAACAAGGTTAACCAATTTTTAAGAAAATTAGAGCCTCAAATATGCATATAGAGTATAGAAAGTTCTAGGAGAGCAACTACTCATTAATAACCATGTCTCACTTACTTATATATTAATCTAGCTAGGCAAAATTAAGCATATCTAAAAATTTAGTTCAGTTTTGCATATGAATTTAGAAGTTTAGTTTCACCCCCTTGATTAATTGTTGCTGGAACATGAATGAATTTTAATTCGTGCTGAACCAAATTAGTTTGATACTAGGGTGAAACATTGAATTAGATTTTGTGGAAGTTTATTATTCAATTCAATTTCAGTAAAACCTAATAAATGGAAATTGTCAGCTCAGAATGGCCATGTATAGCAGAGTTCCGATTCAAGACAATGTGATTAAGAGATGACAGACGAACAAAGAGGGCCGGAGGAGTTACCTTTTGACAAAGTATTTTCATCACCTGGGAGCTTAGGAGTGGTGCGGTGAGAAGGATACGCTATCAAGCTATGAGACAAAGAAGCGGCCATAGAGTTGGAATCCCAGGTTGCGGCTACTGTGGCAAGTTGGCGTTGATGTTTCGCAAAGCTGCCCAGGAGAAGTCGAAGATGAAAACCACGGAGAAGAGAGTTGGAGAACACGAGTATGAGAGGACGAGAGTTTAATCGTGCGATTCATTTTAAATTTAGAATTAGGCTATTTTTGAAATATTTAAGAATAATTGAAAACTTGAAAGTTAAATATGAAAAGTATTTTCTAAGGGGACATTAATGAAATTCTAGACCCAAATGTGCCCCGTTCGGGACATTTCCACAAAATGAAAATCAATAGGTTGGGTGACCCAAAATAAATGGCTTTTAACAGGCAAATCCACTGCAGCCTAACAAAACGTGAATGCGCACATTCATACAGCCCAATAACATGTGTAAACCCCAAAACCAAAACATGACTAAATATGTTTACTCAACAAAAAATGTGATTCTCGTATTTATAATCGTATTTATAATCTAAATCGAAGTAACTAATTCCGACATTAAAATACATCGACATATTATATGTTAAACAATTTTTTATTTGTAATAAACAAAGTAAATGATTCCCACAAAGAGTAATTTATAAACATTATACCAAGAATTACTTAAAATATTTTTTATTCGAAGAATTATTCAAACAAAGAACAAATTATTTCATAAACATTAAAAGTTAAATTTATAAAAAAATATTTTACAGAATTACCACACAAACAAACCTGATTTTTTTATACCAAGAACAAATAAGCCCAAATGAATGGCAGAAAATTAGCTGGGGCGGCTCAGAATAATCCTCACACGACGAACCGGGCCCAATAAAATATAAGCGACGAGAACTCCTCATCCCCCAATCATTACGCCGACACTCAGACCCTCTCCCTCTTTCTCTAACGCTGCTACCTTCACCACATCTCCTTCCGGCTACAAACAACAACGATGAAGCTTACACCCTTCAACTACAGTTTTTCATCGGTAAGTTTCTTTCTTCTCACACCACACCGAAACACGAAGCTTTGCATGCACAAACACCTCACCAATTCTTTGACTCCCGCTTTTTAACCGCAAAGAACATGAAAACATTTTCAGTTTATGAAATCAACAAAGCATACGGATCTGCTAGAGAGTAGATCTGTTAAGTGTTTTTTTCTCCTTTCCGTTGTTATTGTGATTTTTGTAGATCTACCGGTCACCATCCACTCTTCATTGTAATATGTAACGAGAACCACCGGCGAAAAATACAAAATATAAAACTGTACAGATCTGGCAGAACCGTAGGTGAAGTCCAAATGCCTTTTCTTTTACTCGTATTTCTTAAGACGTTCATGCAAATTTGGGTGTTTTTTTCATTTCGTGATTCGTTCCACAAATATAACTCGACTTTACAGATATAGCAACAATATCTCGATTTTTTATTTAAAAATTCACTTTGCTTTTTAAAGCGTCGATAAAGCATTTCCCCCAAAAAAACTGTATTCCAGAAAGATTTTAACCCCAAGAGACACATTTATTTGACAATACCAATTTTTCCAATTTATTTTACCCCAGAAGTGATTTCCAAATTATTTATTTTTCTTTGAAACATTATTTTAATAATAGTCTCGTAATACCTAGGGAGTATATTTTATGAATTTTAATTTATATTGTAAACATTTTTTCATTAAACAGGCTCCGGATTCTTTAAATTTTAATGCATCTTAAATTTTTCTGAAAAATCCAGAAACCTCTCGCGCAATAAACTTTTGAATTATTACTCATGTCATTACAATATCACATAAAGTGTATCCTTTTTGTCTTTGACTAATTTGTGTACATCACATGAATGATTTATTTAAATGTTTTCAACTGAAATTATATTTGACATCCAATGTGCAGTTCACTGCAAAGATCAATTCATCACGGGCATTATCTTTTACTGGTTCTAGATGGGCTGGCCTAGCTAGCCAATTCAGGTATCTTCAGTTAACTCCTTATGATCACTTTTATTTTCACAAAACAAATTTTCTGTCATCCACAGTTTGTTTTCTTTTTTAATGCAGCTCAAACTCCGCTACAAGTGATAGTAGTGGTATTTACTCTGGAAATGTGGACTCAGATATTGAGCACAAGGTAAATTCTTTTTCCTTACATTATTTACTGCCCCTTGTAACATCTATTATCCGCACCCTAATATGATCAACTTGTGAAATGTTCTTAGGTAAACCCATCTGTGGTTGCATCTTACCGGAAAGGATTATTTTTTGGTTTGCCAACCAAGCATATTGAGTTTCATCGGGTAATGATAGTGATGCGTTCGAGTGAAAAATAACATGACCTGGTCTCCTGATGACTCTTTGCTTCAGTTTCTGTTGATATGGAGAGCTCATTCTGTATATAACATTTTTGCATAATAACATTTCAGGCTTTCTCCACAATTGTGGATAGACCTGCAAACGTAAGTGATGATGGGAAAAAGGTCCTTCGTCCATTATCACCTCACCTTGCTGTTTATAAGCCTCAGACAAATTCAACATCATCTATTCTACATAGAATATCTGGAGCTTACTTAGCTGCCGTCGTTTTCGGCTTTCATGTTATTTATCTGAAAGCAGGCTCAGTTTGCCTCAGCTACAACAATTTCTACCAATTATTGTTCTATTCATCAACTCTCAGCCAACTTGCTCTTGCAATAGCTCCCGTAGCAATATCCTATCATGTGGTCAATGGGGTTCGTCATTTAGTTGTGGATTTTTCAGGATATCTCTTTCCAAAAATCGGAAGAAACAAGCTGAAAGGGCTGTAAAGTCGGATGACTCAAGTAATTACCTTGTTCCCAATAAAACCAAGTGTTTTGCTATACTATTTTCTCATTTTCTGCAATCTTGTGCATTTCTAGATCCAAGAAGCTCTGATTCTTGGTATACCTTGGATTGGATCTGATCTTACATCATCTGATGATGATATTTGCAGTTGAAATAGAAACAAACAAGTGGTTTTTGAATAAATATTGTGAATTATTATTGTATTTGCATTCAGCATCCCCTCAACCATTTCTTATTAAAATTCAAATTTGAATAAAACTGAAACGAATATCAAATGCACACCACACCTAGTATATATTTGGCAGTTGGCACTAACATTTGGCTGATCCAAAAATTCAATTCAAATAAGTGCAATTTAACTAAACAACCGTTGAAAACATCTTAATCTTTTAACTAAGGGCTTATCTCGAGTGTCTAAAAATAAACTTCAAATTTGACCAATTGTTGAGGTTAGCATGTTGAGCTAACTTGTTTAAAACTCAATAGGCATAAAAGATTAAAATTATTTGTCAGTTAAACACATTTTGGTAACTCTTTTTTTAATGGACAAAAAGTTCTAAACAAAAAATGTAGCCGTTTGATGAAACATATTCTTTTAAGATAAAAGTGTTGTAGCAAACTTAATTCTTGTCCATGTTGGTAGTGTGCGATATTGAAGAATGTAAATAATCTGTGGTTGAGATAATAAACGTAGATAAAAAATATCAATGAATGACACACTGATTTTCATAAGTACACAATAAGCACCTCAACAAAGTACACACATCAACGCTTTAATGCACCAAATCCGCCTCTGATACAGAAATTGAACGTATTAGTCATATGACTTAAAATGCGTTAAATCCCGTGTGTTATAATTATTCATGTGTAGAACCCCTTCTATAAACAAATATATTGTCAAATAATAGAAAATGATTAGCATTTTTGTACTCCCTCCGTCCCCCTATAATTGTCCCATTTTTCCTTTTTTGGATGTCCCATTATTGTTGTCACATATCATATTTGGTAACATTTGTGTGGCTCTAATTCATTCTTACTTTATTTCCACTTTATCAACTCATTACCAATCACATAATTCTACTTTTCTTAAAAATCACACCACTCCCTTCTGTACCAATATTAGGGGGACTAAGGGAGTATAACTTAGTGATTTACATGCATATGAGCATATCCAATCATAATATTAACAAAACTTGATCTCTAAATTGTTAAATTTATTCATAAAAAGGGTGTTGCACATGAATAGTTATAACACAAGAATTGGATGCACTTTTAAGTTTTAAATTACAAGGGCTAATGTATTGAATTTCTATATCACGAAGGAGTTTGATGTATCAATACCATGCACTTGTGTATCAGACTTAAGGTACAACGACAGACACAAAAGGGGCAATGGGGGCCGCGGGCCGTTCCAGATTCCCCCGCTAGGTATAGTTACTCCAAAATTTTAATATATATTCTCTTCATCCCTTAAAATTTTGTCAAATTTGATCGACACAAATTACAATAAAGTAAAAATTGTGTTCCTGAGATTTGTGGAGAAAACATAAAAATAACAGGAACTAAAAAGTAAATGATTAAAAGTGAAAGTGATAAAAATTTTGGAACACAGTTTAATCATTTAATTTTTAGTTCCTGTTATTTTTATGTTTTCTCCACAAATCTCAGGAACACAATTTTATGTTATTTTTTCAATTATTACATACTATTATCTCTAAGTATTGAGATTGAATGTATAAATCGTTATATAGTAGTGTTCTTTCTTTTTTATGAATGTGTTAGGGTGAAGTCAACTTCACTGAGCGAAGTATTATTTTGTATACCCCGCATATTATATACATAAAATTTCTTTATCAAAATCTATTTTTGTACACTTTGAGGATAAAAAAACCTATCGGATGTACCATTTGATGAACAGATCTGTCGAAATATCATATCCGTGTATGGTCAACATTCAACAGTTTGTTTTTTACTTTTTAGTGGGTAAATTAATTCTCTTATTAGAAGTGACTATTACATACTATTATCTCTAAGTATTGACATTGAATGTATAAATCGACATAAAGTAGTGTTCTTTCTTTTTGATGAATGTGTTATGGTGAAGTCAACTTCATTGGGCGAAGTATTATTTTGTATACCCCACATATTATATACATAAAATTTCTTTATTAAAATCTTATAAATCTATTATTATAAAATTGTATAAATCTATGTTGTATAATTAGTACATTTATAGTATCATTAGTTAAATATAAACTACCCCCATTCCCCTATGGTTCCTCAATAAAGTTCCTCAATAAAGTATATGTCATTTATTTCATATACGCAATATTGTTAAGATAGAGAACCTATTACTATGTTTTAATTGTACATTTTATTAGTGATTGCAATATTATTTATTCAAAATATATGTGTTTATTTACACACTATAACATTTAGCTTTACCTCATATACAGAAATATATATTCTTATGTTATATATTAGATACAGAGTTACTTTAATACAGTTCATAACTATTTAGATACCTTGATCAGCTATATCTTTGATCCCTCTTTTACGATTGATGATGGTGGATTTTGTTAGCTTCTTCATTATAATGTTCACAACTAAATAACATGTAGAAGTCATTTAAAGCAAATAAACTCAGTATTCTTGATTTCCAATTGGCACACAACACATTGTAGTCTGTACAACCATTTCACTTACATGTATCTCACGTTGACTTTACTGGTATTTGGCCCATCGCATGTGTCTGCCACTTTCCATGCCAACCACCAAAGTGGCCTTCGGAACTGTGTGTTGTGGCATTCCAATGTGTCCAAACCCAAATAATGAAAGTTAATCTTCATTCATACAACCATTTCCATTTCATTCATACAAACCTTTCCATTTCATTACATAATACATATCATCATTAAACATGTCTTAACAATGCATGATGTTACATGATGTTATCAAATTCATTTCTACCAAAAATAAAAAACTGACTTGTTTTGCATAATACAGTTTAAGAGCATCACTGATATTACAATTGCATTTTTTGAGCACTATAGTCATGGCATGTTCATGTTCATCCAATGAAAACACATGTCCACATTTAGGTTTTCATTGAAGTACTTCCGATTCATAGTAATAGTGCGGCCAGATCTTATACGTAATGCACGACACACATGTACCCATTCAGCACATTCTTTGCATATGTAGTTCCCATTAGGTCTTTTCTTGTTTATAGGCATCATGCAGTAAAAGTGACTTAAGTTTGCATCACACCAAAAGTATGGTTCCAACAAAAAGCCCCCTAATGTAGTCCACATGCATGACATTTGGGAGAACGACATTTGAAACATGAACAGCTTCTCATCTTATACAGAAAGTTAAGAAATGTGATTAGATTTAATATTTTACTAAATCAAAAAAGAATACCACTTTGATCTGAGCTCTGTTATTTTGAACACCAAATCTTTCACATAAGTGCATATATAATTTTAGGTGATATTACAGTTGTTGTTTTGAAACTTTATAAAATTAGAGGTAATTTTTTAGTTGTTGTTGTTTTGCGCTATAAAAGTTTTGAAACTTTATATAATTTGCAATATGGAAAATTGTTTTTACATGTATATATCTGTTTATACATATGTTTACATGTATATATGTGTGTATAAAATATTTTTACTTGAAAATATTATCCTTCACTTCAAGTGATATTACAACTTTATATTTACTTATTTAAGTATATAATACATAAGTAAATGAATACATACATGTCAATATGTACAAAATATTTTAACTTGAAGATATTATCTTTAACTTCAATCTATACTTATTTGCAATCTGTTCATACATGTAGCCTGCATATAAATCTAAAATTTCAACTATGAAGTTCAAATATATATCTGTTTTTAGCATAAAATATATTAATATATGATATAGATATTGTTTATTACATAGCGTAACATGTTTACAATATGTTCATACATGTGGTATGCAATCCAATCTAATTTTTTAAACATTAACTTATTAACTTATTTAATATATATATATATATATATATATATAAAGAGGTCTTCCCATGCAAATTGAGAATTAATCTCGTGCGTTCATTTTGAGATCTAATGGCTCAAAATGAGCCAAAAGTGAACTAAATTTGATAAAAAACGCGGTGTCAATTTCGTAATTAAAATGAAGTTTTTTGTCATCGCGAAAAAGTGCAACAGAAACACGCAAAAGTGCAACGCGGTGAAGAAAAAGTGCAATTGTTCGCACTTTGCACGGGAGAACCTCTTTTTATTTGATCTATTCCCTATATATAGGGATATATATATATATAACCATTATTATACATGTGATATACATATTGTTTAATACATACAACCATTATTATTTTCAAATATAGTGTATATGAAACTGTTTTTGTTTACAAAGGATATGCATCATACATAAGTTTATTCTATGCATTCATGTTTTGTAAATCCAAATAAGAACTGGATGCATCATACATAAGTTTATTCTATGCATTCATGTTTTGTAATCCAAATAAGAACTAGTATTTCTATGCATTCATATCTTTTTTGTACTCATAAATCTTTATTCACATAACAGCATATATAACTTTGGTATTCAAAATGTATTTGAATACGTACCTGTGCACTATGAAAGGATAACCCAAGTTAGACTTTATTATTATTGTTATGCTTTGAACCTTCTCAGCTAAGAGTAAATGCGGTTGTTGAGTTCATAAATGAGTTGAGCTCATAAATGAGCCAGAGCACATTGTAACTGCTTTTTAAGTTGTATTTATGCTATCAGATTTGGCAGTCAGTTATTAACCCATAGTACGTGATCTTTTCTAAAAGATGTTTGCATTAATTTATTGAGGTGGCTCTATAACCATTCTACTTGTACTCTGCCTATGTAATGATGATAAACCATTAATGTTTTGAGTCATGCACCATCCGAGACATTAAATGTTTTCAAATAATATAATTTAGTAGTACATTGCATTAGGTTGAAATCTGAGACCAAAGATATTTTAGTACCTTGCATTAAATGTTCTTTCATCATTAAGAACTTGCTTTATATGCATCGCATGAAATGGTTTTACCTGAGCCCCTGAGTTTTTTTGTGTCCTTTAAATTCCTTTTGCTGGACTTGGTAATTAAAACATAAAATACCTGGTCTAGCATATTTAGGAAGAAAGAAAACTGTTACAAATGTTGAAGTGTGACGTGGCATAGGTCTTTTTCCCCTCCTTTTACTATATATATATTGGTTTGTTAGTCAAACTAACTTTACTTATTGCACATACCGATAAAATATTTTAAGTGTAAAAGATGTTAAAATAAAAGTTTTGAATCATTTTAAAATGTGCATTTCTTTTACAATTATTTTTACACGTATATATATGTATATAAAATATTTGTACTTTGTATATGTTTATTTTTAATAGTAAATGCTACATGTTGCACTTTAAGTAATATTAGCAAACATTTTATATGTAAATTCTCCCAAAAATGTGCATCGTTGTACTTTGCTACTTACTTAAATACTTCAAGAAATATATGTGTCCTAGACCAGGTTAAGATTAGTATTTCACTTAGAAAATATTATCTTTATGTACCTCTTTACATATATAATACATAAGTAAATCAATATATACATGTCATGGTTACAATATGCTCCATACATGTAGTCTGCGTATAAATCTAAATTTTTTACCATCAACTTATTTATCATAAAATGTATATACATATCATATATTTATTTTTAATTGTTCTGTAAATTTAAATACGAACTGATATTTTCATGAATTGATATCTACTTTTTACTCTAAAACGTTAAGGAATTATAAAACAGTTGACACATATGATAAGGGTATTGTTTAAGTCATTCAACCATTATTATTTTCAAATACTGAGAATAACTAAATGTTTTTAAAATAAGAACTGATATTTCAATGGTGTCATATATTTTTATTACTCGAATTAGGCATGATTAAAACCTGCCACATATACTTTTGAATTGAACTTGTGATTATTATTGATTTTTGCAGGTCCCAGTTTACATTTTTTGGGAGTTGTAGGACCCTTAAGGTAATCTTAAAAGTTTTAAGGTAATCTTAAAAGTTTACCTCTGTTTTTATTTACAAAGTATATGTAATTTATATTATATAGTAGTTCTGAAAAATAAAATAAAAACTGGTTTTTTCATGAATTCATAAAGTTTCTGTACTTTGTTAATTTGTAATTATTTCAACAAAGTTAAATAAATATGTGTCATACTAAAGCAAACTATTTGTACTTTCTTAATTTGTTAGTTATTTCAACATAGTTAAATAAATATGTGTCATACCAAAGCAAAATATTTGTATTTTTCATAAATCAAAATGTTGTATTTTGAAATGAAAAGTTATTTGGCAGCTGCTCGTTGTTTTCATTTTTGCAGGTTCCAATTTTCAACTGTTGGAGCTGGAATTTTTGAACTTAGAAATTACCAAATGTATAGGTTATAGTTTCTACTTTCTAGGACCTTTATAAGGTTGCCATTCATGTAATATTTATATTTATATTGGGTTTGTAAATATTATTTAGTTAAAATTATGGAATGCAAGTTTATTGCAAATTAAAGCCAGAATGCCTCAGGTATGATTCCAACATCCCTCTCATTCAACCGTTTCATTTGTTGTTTCTACAATGCCCTTGCTAAAATATTACTCCGTAGAATCCAAATATATTCATTTTATGAACTGTTAATACAATACATCGAGGAATTTAAAATATCTCTTTACTGATCCTTGCAAATTACACATAATTTGACCAATGTCTGTAGTGGCAGCATTTCAGTCATTTGTAAGCCCTTAGCTGGTCCTTGTAAGCACTTCAGTTAAATTCACTTATGGCCTTGTAGATAACATGGAATCTGCATGCACTTGTGCTGGTATCCAAAGCACTAAAGAAACAGAATAACTGCAAAACCAAATAGGATACACCACACGTATAGATATTGCATTTCAAATAGGATGGATCACACATACCAATCAATACAAAATAAGGTTTATGGAGCTCACACCATTAAGTTTAAGTTTTCAAAAAAACTAATTCGAGCAGAATGTTTTTCACTGCCTTGATTAGTTATAGCAAAACATAAGGTAGTTATAGCAAAATATAGGGCCGTCCATCCTTGGTGCCATTGTGGCCCTCTATTCTGGTTCCTTTTTAATTTTGGTCTTCAACTTCTTGACATTAGTAGAAAACTGCCCCATCAAACTCCTTTTCAGATTCTCATCTTCTTCACATCCCTTACTTTTACGTTTACTTTGTGTCGGAGTCGCACCATCCTCCTCTTCTTGTATCCAAAGAGTTTGATTAAATAAATAGATATGATAAAATACGTAGGACAAAAAAATCTGCTTGGATATACCTTTTCTAGGTCAACAACGTCAGCAGTTTTTGTTTGTCCTGTGCTACCATTCAAGTTGTCTGCTGTGGAGTCACTTTGGAATATTTTAATTAATTAATACTTCCTCCGTTCTTAAATAAATGCAACGGTCAACATTTCACACTTGCCGAGACACAACTTTGACCATTAATATAAATGATTTTGTATTAGTAAAAAAATTAAAAAAATTAGATTATAAAAATTTACAATGAGACAAGTTTAACAATATTTTTTTCATAAAATAATATTATTACATTAATAAATAAAACGTAGTCAAAGTAGAACATGTGAATAGTGTAAAAGTCAAAGTGTTGCATTTATTTAAGAACGGAGGTAGTATTTAATTAATATTTTATAATTACAAATCAGATTTATGATTACACTATTTTTGAGTTAGCCTACTAATTTACCTTCTCCATATCAGAAAGTTCTTCAAGACCATTCCCGTTCTTCTGACTTTCATAAACTTTCAAAACTTTCTGATCTGTTATCATTGAAATCACTCCATAGGACATAGGTCCTTTGTATGAACTACCCTCAGCCTTGGTCTTCAACCGCACTTTGAACAATCCTCTTTTATCTATAATCACTTCAATGTCCTCTGGAAAATGGGTAGCATCTCCCGTTCTCTACAAAAATTGTAAAAAAAAATGGGATTAGAGCATTGCCTTTACTGAAATTGGGGTTATTTTTTAACATATTCACATGTAAACGTTTATACCTTCTCCACTTCTTTCCTTAGGCTTGCCGCAGTCTTCCCAATAATGTCTAAACATTCCCTATCCAAAAGTGTGAATGAAGAATGACCAGAATCGTCCATCACACAAACAGTAACTTTGTACCTAAAAAAACTTGAATTATTTATTACATTTTTTGAAGTCTAGTCTCAAATAATTTTGAATTTTTTGTGTGGTACTTGTACCTAAGGATACCCTCTGGAAGTGTCAAGTTGCATGACAAACACCTGAATCTATCTTCTTCTGGTTTCACTTTTTTGTTGCAAGAGTTGCAACTCAAATAACACCATTCTTTAAAGTTTTCGATCGACACAACATCTCCCAATTTCCAGTATACTCCTTCCTACAAGTAGATTTCCAAAAATGCAGTCATCAAAGCTAACATCTTTTTAGTTCTAAATAGATATCCATTTTCTTAGTTTTCCTAGTTTACCTCTGTTTTTTAAGCAAATCTGCAATAGTTGTTATGGTCACATTGCCTCTAAGAATGTCTTCATGACTTTCAAGTTGTGAATTCACAACCAAGGTAGTCAGAGTACCGTCGTCCCTCTCTTCTGCTGCAAACCTATAACATTGAAAAACAAAGTTTTAGTGTTTGTAGATGCAGAAATACTAAGATACTACATAATCTAAACATCATACGTACTAGGCCATGAAGTCCACCAGTTCAGTTGTGTTTCCATTGATAATCAACTTGCTAGCATCGTATGAGGTCGTGACTGAAATGATCCCTGAAATACAATGTTCTTGAGTAGTCTCCAAAACTGTTTTTTTACAATGGTCCGTAATAATCAAATAAATTATGCGGCAACTCTCCAAACCAGTTTTCACCTTTATATCGTTTGGGCCTGCACAATCACAAAAATTGGCTCCTCTTTGTGATCTTCGTAATAGTCTAGAAAGTGGTCTATGTAGTTGTTCCATAGGGTGCAACCCAGACGGTTTGCTACACTTCATGGTCCATGGTATGAATATTTTTAAAATACATACTCTACATCCTCAAGAGTGAGCTCCATTAACCTCTCGGGTTTACCATTGATCACATGGTTTTGAGGTGTACACTTGCTCAATACCTTTCCGACCACATCTGCACCAAAATATATAAATCGTAGGCCGTTTCACTTAAATTTAAATTTTAAGACAGAAATGTCAAAATATTACCCAATAGTTGTTTGTCATCAACTCTTAAGGTCTAGATTGCTTAAATTCAAACACACTATTTGGCACCATATTTGGATTAATATCTTTTACATAAGTTTTGCCGTAAAACTCAATTAAATAGGCATGGGACGTGGCTTTGTAAGTATAGTAGTTGTCCATCACCAAGAAATCCCTTATTGCCTATACACCGTTTTCTCTTATCTTGGAAATGCCACCTGCTCTTCTTGGTCTAACAGTGCTTGCGTGGGGGAATTCAGTGGGCGATCTTGTGGCAGATGTTGTTGTTGCTAAGGCTGGCCAGCCCGCAATGGCCATGGCAAGGTGCTTTGCAGGACCCATGTTTAATATGCTTTTCGGGCAGGGGACAGCTCTGGTTATACAAACAGGGAATGTTTATCCGGATGTGTATGAGCTGCGTTTCCATGTGAGCATAGTTGTGCCCTTTGTTTTCTTGCTCTTGAGTTTGATGGGATCCTTGCTTGTAGTAACTTGGAATAGGTTCCAAGTTCCCAGATCCTGGGGTTTCTGTCTTGTCGGACTTTACGCACTATTCATGTTAGTAAACTTGGTCATTGCAAAGTTTTCTGCATAATTTTTTTAGGCAGATGGAAGGAGACATTTCCAGGCAAGTTTCTGCAGTGTATGTATCACTACATTCTTTTACTACATTGTGTTTCGTTTTCTTGTGCAGTTTAATGGCAAAAGAAAGAAAACTTAATAATCAAACTGTAATTTTGAGATTAAAAGACCAAACTGGTTTGAATTTGAACCAAACCTCATTGTCACTTTGGTTTTGTTCGGTTTTGTAAGAAAAAAATCCAATCAAATGACCTAATCTCACTTTGGTAGTGATATTATATGTTGTACAGTTTTGTTCTTATCTCTCTATATACAAAACGCAGTGGAAAGGCAGACTGAGTTTCCCGCCCAATCCACTGCCAAATACAGGTCGAACGAATTCAAACGGGTCAGGTCCGAATAATGTGTGTATATTGAAAGGTTTTATTTAATGTTGGCTGCGCTTTGGTTGCTTTTTGGCTTCAAATCGGGTGCAAGAGCTAATAAATACGGAGTAGCAATTAATTGTTGTAGCAACATGTCTTTTCAAAACTTTTTGGAACATTAAATGTAAAGGCTTCAGAATTCTTTTCGAAACTAAAGTATGCCCGCAGTATCTCATCTCTTCATAACTTTATTTTGCATTTAATGAAGGGAGATCTCATATCATAAAAATCTTACTTTAAAGTACAGAGACATTTGATGCTTTGCAACATTTGTTTAACCATCGGACAAAAAACTGTGAATACCCATTAGAAACCAAAGAAATATAGTCCTCTACAGCATTATAAATAGCCTACCTCACTCTGTTAATTTTCCATCCCAAACACAGCTCTCACAACAATGGCAGCAAATCAAGGAATGTACTCATTTCTAAAAGAGGTTGATCACATTAAGACCACTTGGGCTGTCAAGGTGAAAGTGGTCAGGACTTATGAATTGCCACCTCAGACCAGGGGAGGACAAAGGATTGAGTTGGTGATCATGGATTCACAGGTAGTGTTAGTAACCATTGATGCTGCATTTACATATTTGAAGTCATTCCAACAATTTGAATAATGAATTCGTAATTTCAGGGAGAAAAGATTCACGGTGTAATAAAGAGGCCACAACTTGGGTTGTCCAGGTCCAAGATAAGAGAAAACGGTGTATACGCAATAAGGGATTTCATGGTGATGGACAACTACTATACTTACAAAGCCACGTCCCATGCCTATTTAATTGAGTTTTACGGCAAAACCTATGTAAAAGATATTAATCCAGATACGGTGCCAAATAGTGTGTTTGAATTTCAGCAATTTGAGGTCCTACAGACCTTAAGAGTTGTTGATGACAAACAACTAATGGGTAATATTTTGACATTTTTGTCTTAAAATTTAAATTTAAGTGAAACGGCCTACGATTTATATATTTTGGTGCAGATGTGGTCGGAAAGGTATTGAGCAAGTGTACACCTCAAAACCATGTGATCAATGGTAACCCCGAGAGGTTAATGGAGCTCACTCTTGAGGATGCAGAGTATGTATTTTAAAAATTTTCATACCATGGACCATGAAGTGTATATAATTAACCGTCTAGCAACTTCTTATTTACAGAGGAAACCGTCTGGGTTGCATCCTATGGAACAACTACATAGACCACTTTCTAGACTATTACGAAGAACACAAAGAGGAGCCAATTTTTGTGATTGTGCAGATGTGCAGGCCCAAACGATATAAAGATGGAGATCCTGCAGCGACCTTGCTCTCTTTCGTCCGTCAAAGAAGAACCCGTTGTTAGAAGGATGATAAAAGAAAGGGATAAGGGTCAGATAGGGCCTCAAACTTACAAAAAAATGTCAAATAAGGTCATATATAGGATGCTCTGTACGTCCGACGCCATTTGGGGTGGTTTCCGGTTAAATTTTTCGATGAAATTTTTGGAGCATCTTATTCATTAAGTTTAGTTTACTCATATCAAATTTGAACTAAAAATTCAAATGGGAAGGCATTCACATGAATTCTTGAAAATAACTGCTCAGTTAAAAGCGCAGTTATCTTCAAGAATTTATTCGAATGCCTTCTCGATTGAATTTTTAGTTCAAATTTGGTATGACTAAACTAGACTTAATGAACAAGATTCTAAAAAAAATCATCAAAAAATTCCATCGGGAAGCGCCCCAAATGGCGTCGGGCGGACAGATAATCTTATATAAGACCTTATTTGACATTTTTTTGTAAGTTCGAGCACCTATCTGACCCTTATCCCTAAAAGAAACTATCGCCTAGAGTTAAAAGAGGGAAACGGGCATGTTCCCGTGTCTGAAGCCAGAGCAGTGTATTTTTTCAGCTGAAGGAATAAGTCGCCTCTTGTCTGAGCGAATAAGTCATTTGTTTTATTAAGTTCCAAGTAAACACGACTTGATGAATTAATGGTTAAGTTATTAAGTCCATTAAGTCCATTAAGTCCCAAGTAAACAGCCCTTTACTCCTATCCGCTAGTGGGACTCAACCGTGAGTCACTTATTCCAAATTTCACTCTTGTGACCAACTGAGCTGCCCATGGGGCATTATGTTGGTAGACACGACTTTGGGCGTCGAGAAGGGGCGGATCTAGCTTTTCCGTCCCGGGGGCAAATTTAATTACTCCGTAAATAACGTATATTGCCAAAAAGGTCAAAATGTAATATAATAATGTGTATTTAGCAAAATTTATTTTCAAGCATAAAATTACATTTGTTGCAACAACAAAAATTATAGTTACTCCCTCCGTCCCATATTTAACTCCGATTTTGACCGGGCACGGGTTTTAAGATAGTGGGATTTGTGTGGTGGAGAGTTATGCAGAGGAGAGAGAAATGTGTAAGAATGGTTATGAACCACATATTCTTTACCAAAAAGGGGAAAAGGAGATAAATTTGGGACGGACCGAAAAGGAAAGAATGAAGATAATTCCGGGACGGAGGGAGTACTACTTACTACGCTAATACTAACTAAACTAAATAATTACATATTTACATTAATTATAACAAAACACATTGGAGCCTACAAATCACAAATAGTCAAATGAATCAAATTGAATACAATTTAGTATAACACATTACCTAAATTAGAACCTATGAATCACAAATCAAATTGAATATAAATTATGCTCACAAATAACACACTTGCAAACTTAAATTGAATATGAGAAATACAATAAAACTAAACAATTAATAAACCTAACAGCAATTGGGCGAAGAGCAGAGTGGTGAGACGAGAGACGAGAGTGATAAGTGAAGAACCAAATTGGGTCTACAAACAATTGAGTCTACAAAAAGTGAGGTAAAATCACATATACTATGTAAGGAGAAACAAATTGGGTCTTGAAAAAATTGAGAAATACTTTACAATTAAAGGACCAAATCGGTATTACCCCTATATAATTCCATGAAATTGGAAACAAGTATTGAATTATTCATTAATTCATTCATACCAAATAGGCAGTTACAAACAACTTCAGGGAGTTCAGGGGGAGCTTAGCTTGTTCAGTACTTCAAGAAAACCAAATCCCCCAACTTCAAGAAGACAATAAGTGAATATCAAGATTCAAGATGCTAAAGCCTAAAAGCCTAAGATGGAATTGAAATTTTGAAATTACATAAAAGAACTAAAAGAAGGGTAAAGGTAGAAACCTGGATGATGAAGGAAATGGAACGGATGGGGCCTGGGGCGGCCGAGTCGCAGAGCGGCGGAGTCGACTGCCGATCAGCGCCCTGATGGCTGCGTCCTTGCTGATTTGCTGTGGACTGGTCTGTGGTCTGCGGGGTCGTGGAGATGCATTTGGGATTTTGATTTTCGGGGTTGTAGTTTTGGGGTTGGAACGGTGGACGGCTGGCCGCACCTCGCTTGGGAGATGGACTTCGGACGAACGACATTGTTAGGGTGCGCCTGACTTTTATTAAGGTTTTTTTTAGGGTCGACGGGTTTAATACATCAAAGTCATTTAATATAGTTCAGGACATTAGTGGATGAACTTTAGAAAATGCATCAAATCCTTTGTATTATTGCAAAAATGTTGATCATTTTTCTTTTATTTAGCAATTAGATTTATTCATAAAAGAGGTTCTACGCATTAATAATTACACACATGGGGGTTGACGCATTTTTAAATGGAAAAATATAGAAACGTATATGTGGTTTGGACCATTTTCGGATAGGATGATGTGTTTCATTCTTTAACAAAGTGGGACATGTGTTTCAATTCTGTTATCATAGCGATGACATGATGTCTAACGCCGTTAGAAAAATTAAGCTCGATTTTCAAAAGTTTTTGAAAAAATAAAGGAAAAATACTAGGAGGTGTCTCGTCAAGCAGACCTCCAGACATCTTATTTGTTTCTAAGCCATCATGTATCCACAAAGTCCACCAGAAAAAATGATATTAGTGAATTCGTTTTTAAAAAAATAATCCGAATAGAGCCAAAAAAATCCAAAGAGAACGATAGTTTGTTGGTCTCCTTGACGAGACACACCTCTCAGTATTTTTCTTTTAATTTTTCAGAGATTTTTTAAAATCGGAGTTAATTTTTCTAATAGTGTTAGACGTCATGCTATGATAAATTAAACATGTGCCCCTATCTGAAATGGCCCAAACCACAGGTACATTTTCTATACTTTTTCCCTTTTTAAATCATATGAACTAATGTGCTGAATTTCTTTATCACGAGAGGGTTTGATGCATTAAACTCTATAGTGAACCTAATTTATATATATAGTCTGATTAGGCTCTCAACTTGAATGCACCCATTGCATTGGTTAATCTTAACCCGGCTATTAACTCTTCCTATTTTACCTTATTGTTTGTAACTTTGAATTCAAATTGATGGTGTGGTGAGCTTTGAATTCTTCTGAGTTCGGAGCTTGATTAATAAAATTAGTGTTATCTATCATTTGGCTTCGAGCTCCACTCAGCTAAATTTTCACCTTCCGTTATAGGGCTCACAAACTGTAGGAAAAAATAGTAATAGTAAGATTTCAGTATAAGTCTTTATCTTAAGTTGAATTCAGCGCCTCCCCCTTATGCCCCCAACTCTTTTGAAGGGTTTATCATCATATCTTAAGTCAACAAAGGGCAGGCCTTTGACTCATGTACTCGATTTGGACTCCATTTTAAAATATTGTGTATATACTCCTTTCTCGACTTATCATACCATGAATTTGAAACAAAGTCCTTATATTCACTTAGAGTTCGTTTGGAAACATCGTTTTCAGTTTATCAATTTTTTGAGTCACTTTTTTACCAACTGCATGTTTTTTATTTCGGACACTGCATTGTGTAATAATGAAAAATAAGTAAGGTTGAAATTATTTTTCCTAATAAATTGATTGAACTTGTTGTAGGGGATCATTTAAACTAATTTTTCATCTACCTTATTTTATTTCATTAATAAAAAATATTTCAAATATAATTTTCTCATTATTCAACAAATTAAGTCATAATGTCATTAATTTCAACAAATTCAACGTTACCTAACAAGTTCTTAATAGAGTGAATTCCCTAAATAGGAGTAAAAAAGTTTTGAAATTTCAAAATAGGACTATCATGTTTTTTATTCCCTAAATAGGAGTAAATTTCTGCCAAGTTAGGCATTACTAGGCTTTTAAACATGACATTTTTTCCAAACTTGACAGATTACTCTTATTCAAGAAATAAAAAACATGATACTCCTATTTTGGAATTTCAAAGCGTTTTTTCTCCTGTTTAGGGCAATTTCTATTCTTAATATCTCAAAACTACTGATAATGCTCATATCGAAAATAAATGATGTGGGGATGAGTGATGAATGGATACTGTGGATTATGTGGAACAGAACAAGTATCATTGTATTAGGCTCTATACTAGTCGTTTAGCCTGATTTTTTCAAAACCGTTCCCTTCTTTTTAGCACTAAAGTAGGCGTTAATTTGAACACTTGTGTCTGCTTTAGTATTTCATTATTGTTATATATACACTAAACCGTACAAAAAAAGCAACTTTAATCATGAAAGGGGCATGTGCATAGCCGGTGTTTAGGACCTTTCATTATTATTCTCTCAAAGTTAAAGAAGATATCAGACAAACTTCTTTCATACTATACTCATTCTTTACCAAAGGGAGAAAATGCTTTTCATTCACTCAGATTTTTATTGCAAGTAAAATTCTGCAAGACAACTATTGATGTCAATCTAGGCAAGAAAAATTACACCTTCTTTGGACTGAACTTATGGGAAAATATGTGAGAAACATGGTACTTATTAACTTATATATATACTAAAGTCTTAGAGCCACAGCTACCAAAACTACCATACCAAAAGAGCCAATTACCTTACATTGACTGTAGTAGAACACCAACAAAACATAAACAATAGAAACTCATGATGAGGCTAAACTGAAAAAATCATAACATGAAGGGTAGAAAAACAAAATTTACATCACACTACAGCTATCTGTATTTTCATCACTGAACATGTGAGTAAAATTGTCATTGACAGGAGGGTGCATGGGCGGCCCGTAGCCCATCCCCGGGTGTGGCTGCGGCGCATACATCATAGGATGCGGTCCGCCACCGCCACCGTACATGTCATAACCGCTAGGTCGCTGCTGCTGATATTGGTTCATCATCATTTGAGCCATATATTGTTGTTGCTGCTGAGCCATATATTGTTGTTGCTGCTGCTGTTGGTGTTGATAATGTTGGGGGTTTTGATAAGGGTTTCCCCCTTGCGGCCCGCCCATTCCTGGGAAAGAACCGCCTTTCATGGCAGCCGCTGCCGGGTGACCTTGGACAGCCGCCATATTTCCCATTTGGCCCATTGGGTAGTTGCCCATCTGGCCCATTGGGCGCATCTGACTCATTGGGCCCATCTGGCTCATACCCCCTCTACCACCACCTGCTCCTTCCTGGAACCCCTTCATTTGCATATTGTTGTTCATCATCTGTTGACCACCACCTTTCAGCTGTTGGCCCCAATTATTATCTCCACCCTTATGACCACCACCACCACCTTTACCATTGCTCATCTTACCTCCACTTGCGCCGCCACCGCCGCCATGAATTTGATACCCTACCTTTCCATTCTTCTCTCCATTGCTGCTTTTCTTACTACCCTCATTGTGATTCCCACCATTCATGCCCTTGAAATGCACTGGGATTTCAAACTCTTCACCGCCTTTCTTGGGTTTCCCGCCACTTTTTTTACCGGCCCCGCCCTTTAGCATATTCATCATTCCACTAAAACCTCCACCGCCACCTTTTCCACCACTGCCTTTTCCACCCTTGCCACCACCACTTCCTTTGCCGCCCTTGCCACCCATCAAAGACATCATTTTGGACTTGGAGGGTGCATGGTGGTGACAACCGTCACGCTCATCATCGGACACATCATCATCATCATCATCATCAAAATCATCATCGTCCTCATCATCGAAATCGTCAAGTTCATCAAACTCGTCATCAGGCAAATCAAACTTGACCGATTTTTGGTTCTTGGGAGGGCCGCCTTTTGGGACACTGCCCTTCATGGGATTTTGCATCATATGCCCGGCACCCTTCTTCGGGTCCTTACTCCCACCTTTACTATGGGATTTCAGGTCTTTTCCGCCTTTGAAGTCCCCAAGCTCCAAATTCATGAACTGATTGTTCATCATATTGAATGGAATCTTATTACCCTTATTGTGTGATGAACATAGCTCTGCATGCTTTCCTGAACTCTCAAGCTTCTTTATAAGTGTTGCAGGGTCAGCATTCCCTGTTACGGTCACTTTTCCGCTCTCTGCATCTATCTTCACACCATAAACACCTAATATTCACCCCCAAAAAAATCAACATACTTTACTAAGATATACGGAGTAGTAAAATGGACAATTACATATTTTTTAAGTTTATTATGTAGCAAACACAGTAACCATCAAAAAAATATAGCAAACACAGTATGTGCTGAATATAAAACTTAGATATAGCACATGAATTCTTTCCTTATTCTGCTAAAAAGACTAATTAACTCCAAACTAATCAGTCACATTTTAACACAAGTGTTCTTTTTTAGTCTGAAAGTGCTCATTTCCTTGCTTTTCACTCAATACTCAAATTTAAAACTTAGATAATAAACAAAGTCATATGGAATACACAGTAAATCTCTTAGGCAAATTGGAACTATAAATATACATATCTTGCAATTGGCTCAAACTTTTCAAAGGATATATGAAATTAATTAGTATTAGTAGCTACATGAAAGAAACACGAGCTCACCTTCAACCTTCTGCAATATCTTTTTCACTTTATGCTTGCACCCATCACAGTGTATATTCACCCTAAGAGTACAAGTCTGCAATGTAAAAGAAGAATTAGTGCATGAAAACTGGAAGAACAAGAAGAAGAAAATAAAAGACAAAAAAACATGTTCAAGTTAAAAAAAAAAAAAAAAAACTGAAAACACCATATATAAGTGTCCAGCTTTTCTTTAACTAAAGAAAGTACTCACCGGAGCCTTCAAGATTTCATGTTTACTCATCTTGCTCAACAAAAACAGCCCCAAGAACACAGCTTTGAGGAACAAAGAAACAGAAAGATTGCACCTTTTTTCTTCCTTCAAACAGAAAGAAAAGATTTTGGGAAGCAACTGGTTCAGAAATGAGAGATCTCAAGAAGATAGAAGTCAAGGAGGAGGAGAGGAGGGGGAGGTTCCATGTAATGTAAGCTATGTGGAGTATAATAATAACCAAGTTTTTTTAAAAGAGGTTTGGTTGGTTGTGGGTGTGCACAGTTTTTGGAAATGAGGTGAAGGCGGGCAGGGCATGAGCTGTCCTCAGAGTGAAGACCTCTGTCGGTTTTGGCACCAAATTAAAATACTCCAAAATAATTCAGTCCTGCATTTAATATCTACACTGTACTTTCCTAGCTACCCACTTTAACTCCGCTTTA